ACACACACACACACACACACACATACACACACATATGTAGATAGAGAGACAGACAGATGAACAGACAGACATAAAATAAAAGTAGTAGTGAGGTTTGCAATGGATTTTGCATAACGAAAGGGATTGATTAATTTTATATTCTTTCAAAAATTTCCAACTTCCATATATAAAATATAGCGTAATTTATGTGTAAATTTTAAGAGAAAATACGTGAGAAATGTTAATTTTAAACAATCATTGATAGTACTAATCATGTAAATTATTATATAAAAATTATCATTCCATTCTTTTTTCCTTTTTCTTTTTGTTTGTTGTCGTTTAATTTATTATGCATACATTCATCATATTGAATGTTTAAAAAATTTAAAAAAAAACGATAAATATTTCTAAATTATTGTTAAACATTTATTTGATGTGAAGTTTAATTTGTTTCTTATAGATATAATTGGTGATGAAAGAAAAATTTGCTCATTTTTAAATGTTATATAAGCATTGTATAATATATATATACATTATGGGCAAGTATTTTTATGCAATTATTTCACCTTATCATTTTGTTATTTCTCAGTTCGAATTGTATTTTACAAAAAATATTATAGGTAAGAATATTTTTTGTGTATGTAATTTTTTTTCTTACTTATCTTTTATTTAAAAAGAAATGATAATATTGAATTGAATTAAGCTATATTAATTCATAATGAATATTTTGAATGTTTATATAATATAGATTACTTTATTTTACAAATAATTTTTAACAGATTTTTTAAGTAAAAAAAATCCACAGTTAATTCATTTGGTGCATTTTTTTCTACTGTCTTCAATTTTATTTGGTGATAAAATTACGGTCGATATTCTTATGATTAAGTATTATCAAAGTGATATAGTTGACATAAGAAAATTATATTATTTTGATAACATTTGATCATAAGAATATTTGTCGTATTTCATTACCAAGTAAAATGGAAGAAAAATGACTGTTAAATTTTCTTGTGAATTATATTGCTTTGATTACATTTGATCATTATCATTTTATATCATTAAACAAAATCTGTTAGCAGAAAAAGAAACAAAATTCCGATACTTTTAATTAATCAAGAAATATGATGATTTTTGTAATTTATCAATTTCGAAGGTAAATAATTTCTGATAATTTTGGAAATAGCTAAGCTTGTGCCAAAGGTATTAATCATTTCAGTTGTTTAACTTTATTATCTCGCTATTCAGAAATTACCATGAGTGAATGATAAGATCAGCATTCATTAAGTGAATGATAAGATCAGCATTCCTAAGTCAGCACTTTGACGGGATATCCTAGTAGAACTATGATTCTATCCTTGTGTACAAATAGGACCACAATTCTAAATCTAGCTAAATAAAATTTTTTGTGATATAGTTTAAGTTATATATTTTTTTTTTCTAAACCTACATTGCAATGAAAATAGCATAATTTTATGTTTTATGTTAACTAAATCTAACTTACACCTATGATTTTAGACATTTATTTTGAATTACCATTCTAAATCTTCATCATAGTAGAATTACACAATTCGAGAACCTGCAGTTTGATCGAATCATATTTATCCTAAAGAATTAGCACATTAGTTCGCAGTAGAATCTAATAAGTTCTATCTTTATTCTGCTAGAACCACGATTTCGATCCATATACTCAAGCAGAACTAATATACCAATTCATATACCAATTCAAATACTAATTCAAGACTTATATCTAACTGGAGCCACTTTACAAAATCTCTACTACAATAGAAACACGAACTAAATTAATATCAATTATAAACAACTATAAACTTGAAACCTAATAAAACATGACTTAAAATTTTCATTTTAATAGAACTGCGATAATATCTTCAATACAAGATGTATACGCAACACCCTATATTAAAAATTCAGTAAATTCCTATAATTATATTGTTATCCTAATTAATTTTAGTAAAATTAAAAGCCTTTAGCAAAGTTTATATCTAAATTTTTATTTGTAAATAAAGGCAATAAAAGTGAAGAATAAGAGTGATATAGTATTAAAAAAAAGTGATAATCGGTTAAAAGGAGAACAATTCTTCCTATTAATGGTATTAATTACGAGGTTGTTGCGGAATTATCAGGGAAGTCTTTATCAATATTCAATCCAAATTATGTCATCCATTCGAATGCCATCGTATCGTTCATAGCAAATTCTATAAGATCCAATAAATTATAAACTTTTTTTTTCCCGTCAAAATCTTTAAAATTTGGAAATTGCTTGCAAATTTAAATTTAGGATTATAATAGTATTAATAACATGCAAAAAATTTTGATGAACGAAAAGTAATAAAATTAATATAGAAGACGTTAGCCAAAATTATTCCTGATTAAGAAATTTTCCTTATAATTGAAATAATAGTAATGATCAAATCTTCTGATTCCAAATATATTTCCATAACATCCTGTATTCTGAGATTGACTACATTTGTAATATTTAATAATAGGACATTGAAAATTTCAATAACCTAATTCCTCGTTTCAAATGATAATAAGTGCATGTATGCAATTATTCTCTGTTTCAGTCAGGTAAAATATTATTCCTCCATAAATTATTTCGATTATTTTGTTGAAAATAATTTTGACAATCTTTACAAATGGACCAAAATTCTGGCAATAGCTTATGGATATCAATTAGAAAATTTTGATTTTTCCTAAATGCACACAGATTTTTGAAAAAAATAAAACAAAGTTTCCTTCAGTAAAAGTAGCATATTTGCATGACAGATTTCATAAGTGTTAGGTATTGATAATTCACTGTGTACGATACTTTAACATGTCAGATTAGTTGAACAATATAGTCAAGCAAATAGTTGATATTATCGACATGTTTCAGAGAAATTCGTACATTTTGTACGTATATGCTATCTGCCGATGTCATGTCATGGCCGAGAAATGTGTTGCTCTGAGTTCAATAATTCCAGCTGTGTAAGTAATAAGCTTAAAGCAGATGGCACGTATACATCATTTCTACATGCTATTCATTAGCATCAGGTAAAAGGAAAACGAAGGATAGTTGAATCTACACCTTGCTAAGGAATATTTTGTAACGAAATATAAACAAGGAAAATTTCGAGTTATAAAAAAAAATTTGAATCAAAGATTCCAAAGAATGTAAAAGCAGGTAAAGATTTCTCGAAAGCAAGGAAACTTTTTCTTTTTAATAAGTTTTTTGCATTGTCTAATGAACAAATTGCACAGCATACACAAATACATCGATGATTTATTATTGTATAAGAGCTATTCATATACAGCAATTATCAAATGATGGTCTCCTAATATACTGAAAAACGGTAAGAGATTTCAGATATGATCAAAAAATATAAAATTTTGCAAAAAAAGATCTCGGAAAAAAATCTAGCCCTTCAACAGAAAAAACAACATGCTAGATTCGTCATTTTCAAAACAATCGCTTTTGATTTAATCGTTCAAAATTCAGCGAGAGCATCACATCGTCAGGGAATAGCTGACCTCCATAGTTCCACTCCTTCCGCTTCATCGGTAACTTCTAATCTCCTAACTCCTAAAAAAAAAACGTTGCCAAAAATACTCAGCAAATATTTATTTGGCTACTCATGAACAACCTAAATACCAACATCTGTTTCTGATCTGTTGTAAAATTGCTTAATAAAATGTAAGGCAGTCTCTGTTATGGATATTGCTCGAAAGTAACTTACCCTCGTATGTCCATGCATGCTTAAATACATTAAATCCGTCCCATATAATTTTTCAATTTTAATCAATGAAATCCTCAAGACAAAATTAAACGTAAAAAACTGGGACCAATGAATTTCAAATAAATGTATTTCACTCACCAATAATATATACAAAAAGAGAATCATACAAACATATCAATCACAGCAATCGCAATTGCAATCACTCAACTGTTTATTTTTATTTTCTCTCTCATTAGGGATCAATACTGGCAAAATAGATAAATCACTAGAATTATCCGAATCACTGTCGTAATTTGAATCCGAATTGGAATTACTGAAATGTATACATTTGATCGAAATCATCTAATTATTGAAGTGATGTTCATAATATTCAGTCTTCAAAATAAATTCAACTACCAAATTGTAAGTGAACGAAATGCATAAACAAATATTCAGTCTTAAAAAAGGCATCATCTAAGAATTTATACAAGTTCAACTCTTTTTAGTGTTTTTGGTCTTCTACTACATTTCTACATGATGTAAACTAAAAATAAATCATAACATACTAAGATGTAAAATATGGCGAACTATTTTTAATTTCCATCGAACGGAAATAGCTCATCGACTGCTTCAAAGTAATAAATTTATTATATTATTCAGAGAATTTATTGTACAAATCTTGGAGATTTATTGTACAAACCTATTTATTATACAAACCTTGAAGAAGAATAATTCGCCATTCCAGGAAGAACACCAATTATTTTAAATGCAGATGGAAAGGCAATAGTATTTGACATCGCGCTTAGTGACGATCGCTTCTCCACACATTTGTCCATTTCAATATCACTAAAACAACAGTTCATGAAACAAAAAAAAAGACAAAATTGACAAATCCTTAGGAAGGAATAAGAAATCAGCAGGCTTTCTACCTCGATTAAGAATATTCTGGACAAGTGTCCCTAATCTTTTCAACCCTAGATCTGCTAAGACCTGAAAACTGGAGCAATGGATTATTTTGAATACTTTCACTCCTGTCAAATGAATTTTTGAATTAAAGATACTAGAGGAAGAATAAATACCTTTTTCGTTTAACAGCCATACGAAGTATTGCTGCTTGTTTATTTTCCTTTGGTGCTGTACCGCCAGTTTGTTTCACACGTAAATTCGATACTGATGGTTCATTTTCTTCAACATTTCTACGTGCTTGGACACGGTCAATTTCCCTCAAAAGCGCTTTCTCTTCCTGAAAATTAACTCTGAATTCAGAAATCCTTGATTAGGAATGAAGTCACTTAGTTCCTGCACTATCATTCAGTTTGCAAATATTCAACTTGCGCATTTATATAAAGTAAGAAATTGCCTCATCGAATAGTTCTTCATAGCCCTGAATGAATTGGAATACAACAATTCCTCCATTTATTACAAAATAAATAACTTTTAACTTACAATTCTTGTTAGCTGTTCTTCTAAAAGACTATTGTACCGAATGAAAAAGAATCTTGAAAAATACCATTCATCATTAACCAATACTAAGTGAGAAAATTTAAAACAGTTAACCCTATTTTTCTCCAAATCTTGCTTGGCTTTAAGACTTTCAACTCCGGAAAGAAAATCACATTCATCTTCGTCAAGTCCTCTAATCATATTTCCTGAAAAAGTTAATGATTCGTACGAAGTACTATTTTGAAAATTCATTTTCTCTAACACATTCACAACGTCAACTTCAAATATTTTTTCTTTTTTTTGCTTTCATTTATATCAGTCATCAAATGTATTCAGTAATCAATTATAAAACTTACTAAATCTATGCTCTTCTTCATATTCTGCTTGCTTTCGATCACGAATCTCTTTTAAACGATCATACAAAGGTCTATTGTCAACTTCTTCCTCTGGCACTTCTAAAACCGCTAACTGAGAATACCACAATTTATGACGAAAATACAATCAACAATAGCGATTGTTGCAGTTTACCCCGCATAAACAATGCGATTTTAGATTTCAGATATTCGGAATATAAACCATTTTGGTTGCTAACACACCTAAATTATTCATGCTACCAAGATAGTTCGTTTCATATAATTTTGTGCAGTTGGCAAAATTAAGCGATCCGATATTCACATAGAAATGCCTGTTCTAGTATTTTGCATTAAAAAAATCCATGCATATATTCAGCTCTTAATAAAGTTAAAGAAGAGCTATAACAAATGAAAATTACGGAAGTAAAAAGTGTAACAAACCTTTCGGATCAGTAGGTTTTCTAACTTTTTCCCACTCTTCCTGTCGTCGTTTTTTCGCTTCATCTAATTCCTTTTCGCTTATGAAACGATCAGTCATACTGAAAAGAGAATAAAAAAAAAATTATGCAGCAAAGATTATGCAATTTGATGGTAATCAGGTAGTGAAATAAATTGAATAAAATCGTTTGGCAACAACTATTTTATCAATTGAGGATATTATAACAGATATAATGACAAAAGAAAGCTGATCAACAGGCAAACTCGTAATCATACTGATGAGATGCTGAAGCTAGGATGATTGAAAGCAAAGACAAAAGTATAGATTTATTAAAATTTGGAAAAAAAATTCTAACAAAGATTTTATTTAAATTCCTCTTTCAAATTCAATTCAATTCAATTAAAATAACGGCAAAATACGAAACAGTCAGTATCTTGCAAGCAAAATAATAACAATGCTCAAATATTTTTTTTGCTTTTATTTACATCTAATTTATACACTATACTTTCAATAAATTTTACAAAGTGAAAAATATTACTTTCCATAAATTTCATCAATCACTAATAATATATTTTTTCTGAAATTATACTATTTATCATCATATCTAACAGGTAACAAAATTATTAAAAGTACAAGCAATGGAAAGTATAAGTAAAATAAAAATAAAATTTGAATCCCTAAACATTACAAAAATATCCCTTCTTCTTCTCCTTTAATTCTTCAATTTTTGCGTTTTTTTTTTTCAAAATTGATCAATCACTCTTCCAATCATTGCTAACATTATATTTCCCCAAATTCGTCAATTCTTTTCCGTCTCTTCAATTCCATCATCATTTTCATAATCATTGGCATTATTGTAAACCATAAATATTTACAAATATTCTCAAACTCTAATAACTGTGCTACACAACCATCCTCTCAACTCCCATCCCAAAGCTCTCACCGATCCATTAAACTTTTAATTACTGAAATTTCATTGAAATTCCTGAAATTTGCTTCATATATCGTTTTAAAGTTCCCACTTCATGTATCTCATCATCTGTTGCAACGCAAAAAAAAGCTTTTAAAATATAATTTCATTCGTACGTTGTAAATAAAGCGCGTTACGTAAATGTGAGAAGGCTTATTTTTGAAATTTATGAGTTTTACAGTTAAATATTGCATTTTTCTAAATAATAGTACGTTAATAGTACGCTAATATAGTACGCTATAATAGTACGTTCTTTTTTTTTTTTTTTTGCAGAGCAGTCTTCTAACAGTCTT